CCGGCCTGCGGCCCTGTCCCCCGGCTTCACTCCGGGGCGACCCGCGGGGCCTCCATGCACAGAACATCGAGACTGGACCAGAGGGCTGAAGGTGCCAAGCATCTCAGATCGCGAGGCTTTTTGTGAGCCTGGTGATGAACCGGCAGAGCTGTCGTCGCGGTTAGGAGTAATGGCTGAAGAGACTTTTAAAATACGTGGTGGTTATGCACTAACCGATGAACTCACCTGTCTTCCCCGGCAGCTGTTGGCGTCTGGGCAGCAAAGGTCTCCACACCACGGCGGGGTTTCTGAAGAAGACTGGCACCGAGCACTGGTGGCTGGAGCGGCACCTGAGGGACCCCTTCGTCAAGGCATCGAAGCGGCAGCATTACCGTTGCCGAAGTGCCTTCAAATTACTGGAGATGGATGACAAGCTGCATATTCTTCGTCCAGGACTTTCCGTTCTTGACTGTGGAGCAGCACCTGGTGCTTGGAGCCAGGTTGCTGTAGAGAGGGTCAACGCCTTAGGTACTGGTAAGTGCACGTTTTTGGCAGGCAAGGTGGGGATGATACTCGTCTTGAAGCACATGAGAAAATGATGGCGGCCCTGTGGGGCAGGGCAAACGCCAGAGTCACTGACAGAATTTGCGAAATAAAAACTTAGCATGAGGTGCTACTGTAGGCGTAGTGAAGTGTTGTGATTAACGGTGTTGTGGGGAGGATCCCTTCATCCGGTTCTGGAGTTCATGTAGCCTCCAGCAGCTATCTTGACTTTTCTGAATTTTTATTTCCCTTCTTGAAATATGGTAGTAACGACTAAATACAGTTCATGTGTTTTACACCATTAATGTTTGTAAGATAAGGTGTTACCATCTGTGCTGTTGACTAGGATTTCTGGATTGTCAGCCTTGAAAGAACAGGAGAAAACTAAGAAAAATACCCCTTGCTTATCCCAAGTGACTGAGTTTTTATGTCCTGAATGGATTAGCTTATAGCAAGCCATCCATCCCGATGCATGCAGCAAACTGTCTAAGGACGAGAAGACCAGACATGGCAGGTGATAGTTTTTTGTTTATTGACTAGCATGGAGCTCACGTATATGCAGGTTGTTTGCAGCCATTATGAGTGTTCAGTTTGTCTTTCATTCTTCTAATCCAGATCCTGCTGTCCCCAGTGGCTTCGTCCTTGGCGTTGACCTCCTGCGGATTTCTCCTCTGGAAGGAGCAGTCTTCCTGTCGGAGGCTGACATTGCAGACCCAAGCACGCTGAGGACGATTCAGAGTCTGCTTCCTGCGGAGAAGGTGGATGTTATCCTGAGCGACATGGCACCTAATGCGACAGGCATTAAAGAACTGGATCATCAGAAGCTGATCAATCTATGTTTAGGCCTCCTGAATCTGTCCCAAAGTATTTTAAAGCCGAAAGGAACGATGCTGTGTAAATTCTGGGATGGACATGAATCCCGTCTTCTGCAGAACAGACTGAAGGAGCAGTTCCAAGACGTGAGAGCTGTAAAGCCTCAGGCCAGCCGGAAGGACTCTGCTGAGTCCTATTATTTGGCAAGAGCGTACAAAGGGAAGTGAAAGCCGAGAGCTGCAGATTTTCAGACAGGTGATCAGACATTGATTGGAAATCTGAATTTGGCATGTGTGTAAAGAAGAATCCCACCATTAAGAGCCCGGGGAAATCTGCCACATTTCTTATAAAGTTCATCATGCTTTTCAAATACAAAAATAAACCAGGGCGGTGACCTGCTGAATTTATCCACTAATTATAGAAGCAGAGACATCCAGTCTAGCTTCTCACCTGCGGAGAAAACAGTTGGGAGGGGAGAGGAATAATCTGAAGGGCAACCTCTGGGGCTGGAGTAATGGAAATGAAAATAAAACAGTGATTAGATGAGTTTTTAATGTGTACTTGAAAACCACTGCACTACTCATGTCATCATGTATGAGACTGACCATAAAGGCGTTTGTCAGAGTGAGAGGGAACAGCAAGGGGAGTTTGAGCCAGTTTATTGCCTCTTCATCTTTCTTAAAAGCTGGTGCAACCTATTGGCTCACATGAAAATAGAGAAGGTTTCCGTGCGTGTCGGGGTCTGCATCGTCACGTGCGATGTACAACGCAGCCGCTGGGGCAAAGGCCTCTGGCTCTGGAGTGCTGAGCCCGACGGCTCTGCTGCGTTTATTCTAAAGGCACGGATTATATTTAGATATTGCTGCTTCATGGTACTCATAAATCCAGCAAATGACAGTAGGGCAGGGCCATCGCTCGCTAGAAGACAATTTCCCCTATGTTTTCGGTAATGACCGATGGTGTTTCTTAGGTGAGATGACAAGATGTTCCTTGGATCCCAGACAGGGAGAATTACTGATTGAATTTCTAGAATGGTGTCTGCAAAAATAAATTTAGCCACTGCCTTATCGGGAAGTGACAATTTTACATTGAATAGCCCTTTTATCAGGCCGACTGGCGTGAGTTACAAGAGGGGCCGGCAGCACTGACTGTTTTTAAGGCTTCCAGAGCTTTCTCGTCGTGAACGCCTCATTTGGAATTGCTTGCAGATTTATCAAATTTGAACTGCTTTGAAACCTCCCGACCCAGATCTCCATACTGAATGGTGCACGTGAAAGTGTCACCCCAAGAGCCCAACCTGGGGAGCGGGTGTTGCTTGGTGGGTGTTTGGGGAGGAAAAAAACGACATCAGGCCGCTCTTGGAGAAACTTTTCTTACCTTTGACTCTCCTGGGAGCGCTGCAGATCAGTCCCGGGGACGGAGCGGGGCGACAGAGCGGTTTTGTGTGGGGAGGGGGGCGGCGGAGGGGGCTGATCTCGAAGCTCGTTCGCACAGAGGCAGGGCATTACGGTACGGCACGGAGGGCTTGCGCGCTTAATCCCGTCGTTACGGCGGCCCCGGCCGCTCTTCTCGCGAGAGCTGGGCTCGAGTTCCCGCGAGATCTCGGCGCCGGGGAGAGGAGGGAGATCCAAGCGCGGGGCGCGCGCCCGCGGCGGG